GTGTTGGCAGACTGAGTGGGCAACGGAAGCAGATATTTTCCATCAGTTTTCCAAAGTTTAAGTATACATTTTAAAATTTTCTTGTTTATTTTCTCTCTACAATGAAAATCTTCTAATGCATGCACAGATTTTTCAATGCAGGAATATCTATCAGAATCAGGCGACAAAGAAAGAGGTGACATTTGGAAGCGATTTATGTTCATCTCCCAGGAATAACAGATTGGAGGTGTACATTGGCAAATCAGTATAAACCAGTACAGACTCAGTAAAACCAATCCAGAAAGACTGTGTGTCTTGCAACGAGGTAAGAAGTTTTACTGCATATTCTGGTGTTAAACGAAAAGAAATTCATTATTTAAATAATAATCTAGAAAGAAAATGTTTTCCTGCCTACATCTTCTTTGATCCTTTACGCAGAAGTCAGACTTGACCTCTTTATTTTTAGCAACACTGTTCATTTTTACCTCAAGCTCCTCAGAAATTATCTCCTACGAAATGAGAGCAGTTCTCTTATAAAACGCACTCATAATAATCACATGAAAGGACAGTTTGCAGCTATTTTCAATAATAACTGCAAGTGGCACTGCCACCCATTCCCTCTGTCTGTCACATCACACACAGCCTGACTTAAAGCTATTTTCTAACAACATGTATCATCAATCAGTTTTGGAGGGAAGGAGGACTGCTTCACAGTGCCAGTGGTCACTGACAGTTAAAAACATCCGGAGTTTATACGTATATGTGAGCTAGAGCATTAGGAGATCACTGCAGGCAGAACATTTCAAGAATGTTTTTAAATATTTTTAAAGACTTGCAATGTCAGGTGTAGGGACAGATAGATTAGCAGCAAGAGACCATCTGATGACAGATAAAGCTGAATGCTGTTTATCTGATGATTGTGGAGATAAGGAGTTTGCCATACAGTTTTCACCTAAGCAAGATTTACTTTATATTATAACCTTCTTGATACTGGAAAAAAAACCCAAGAAAGTTCATTATCACACAAAGCATAGTTGTGCAGTTGGTACCTGCAGGTGTAATTATATCACGCTATTTTCCAAAGTCACAGCAGTGAGAAGTATGTAAAAGCCTTCTTTATAAAGGACTTATGAAAAAAAATCAGATTAATATATACTTCTGATGTTTTGGTAAAAAAAAATAAAATTTCCTAACCTGTCTAGCATTGCCATCAGTTCTCAGTGGATCAAATGCAAAGACTTAGATGTGATTAAAAAAAAGATCCAGCAGAAATGTAAAATGAGCCAGAAGAATAGAAAAGACAAAGATTGGTACCAAACTACTCACTTTTTGCAGCATCAGAACCCACTCTTTTTGCATAAGAGAAATTTGAATTACCTTTCAACGCCCTTACCCCAGAGCAAACCAGTCATTCACCATCTACTGAAACAACAGCAGAAGGGAACAGCGGATTGTAGGAGAGCACGGATCGCTGCGCCCCTTGCAGGAGGTGCTGGGGCCGGGGCTCCCACATCGCACCCGGCAGCTGCAGCCGGGCCCGCACAGCCACGGCTGAGTCGGTGAGAAAAGCACCAAAGAGAGACAGTGAAACACCTGCCTTCTACATGCAGCGCCCTCAACTTTGGGACTCACCTTCTGTGCCTGTTTCTCAACTGTGAAATTGAATCGAATTGTGAAATTCTGAACTGTGAAATTGAAAATTGAACCTACTGTCAGGATTCATTATCAAGCACCATATACGTAGGTCAGAAAAAAAAGTTTCTACTCCCTAATCTATCCTTTGTATTACTGTAGAGAATATCATTTACAAGTGTAGTAGCAGGCACAGGCTTCCAGTGTGCACACCCACTACTGATTTTCTCAGTTTAGTTGAGTTGAAATTTTAGTCACATTTTGACAAGCCGTTTAAGCATAGCATCCATGAAATACGCAGCCTTTCCATGGCAAAGCTCCTCCTTGTTCAAACACAACATTAAGAACAGTTTTGCTGAGTAGCCACCAGTTATAGTCTTAAGGCAATCAGTAAAGTGGTAACTATTATGGTAAAGCACAAAACTCCAAGACTGTGTGCAATTTCTGTGGAAATCAAGCACATTGCAGGTATAATCACGGCAATGATAATCTGCATGTCTCCTCTCTACTTTCAGAGTTGCACATCACCACATTAAAAGAAAATTCTTTAATATCTGGGAGTATAATAAAACTTCTGCTGATCAGTCTTCCTCTATACTGCTCCTCGAGAGAAGGTTAAGTTATCTCAACCCTGTAGTTCAAAAAGCCCTATTTTGCTTTATTTAAATATCGGGTGATTAATAGTTGATTTTTATCAAGTTAATTATTTGACTTTTTATCAAGTAAAGTCTATTTCCAAAGCTCACTTCCATCTTCTTTGACAGAACCAATTAAAAAAAAATAAAAGATTAAAACTGCTGGAAATCTCTGGTTCAATTTCCGTTCAGTTCTCTGAGACATGCTCTATAACATAAGGATTTGATATACCTCTGGCCTTACTGGGTCTTCAATGCCAACAACGCAAATGCAAGTCAGGTCAGATAATATGTCATTTTCGTTGTCCCAGTCAGGCTCCGGGCTGCTGTTAAAGTCTCGGAACGCAACGCAGATAGTTCTCAGTCCATCACAGGCCATAGGTTCAATGACTTTCTTCACCATTTCATCTCGGTCACGTGGTCTGAAGATACGAGGTTCACCAGCTGCATTAAGGATCCTGGAACATCTTTTTTAATTATGAAAAGAAAAAAAGTTGATTGTGTATTTTCATGACTGCTGAAAAGTGTGTTTCATTCAACACTTTCCTTTTTTGATGTCAAGTTTTAAATTTCTAGTGTTAATTTCCAGATGAAACATGAAGATTCACTACTGAAATATCAGAGATAATTTGTTTGTAACCTATTACAGAGATGCCAAGAGCCCTTCGTTATTTCGTCAATACCCATGTAATTAACGAGTTGACAACTTACAATGAAATTGAAAAATCCTTATTTTCCAAACAGGTTGAACATAAAGAATCCATTCATAAACTACTGAACATAGAGCCAATTCTTTGGCTAGTCAATGATATGGAAAACAAGCCAACGGCTCCATGAGAGCGAGCACTTAAAATAAAAATTTAGAAAAGAACAATAACAGTTTATCCTACTAAAGCGTGTCATATTTCTACCGTTAAGAAGCAAATTCCAAATACCAAAACTCCCACACATGTCTTACTAGCGTGAGAATGTTCTGCGTTTTGGAAAAGCACAGTATCGATCCCGTGAACTTACTTCTTCAGAACAATTTCAGAAGCTCCTTTGCTGTACATTCGGAAACTACCATCGGGCATTTTAATGACAGTACTCATCGACTTTCTCACAGAGTTGAACGTGTAAACTTTATAGAGTTTCTCCTCGGGGATGAGGTTCCGAACGGGCTCATAATCCTGCTTCAAATCCAGGACAAATCCCAAGAGGCCGCACTCCGTCTTATTGCCTACCTGGCGAGGCAGGCCACCCTCTTTTTCTGGTGGCTGAAGAGAAGAAAAAATTCAGATATGAATTCCTGTAAGGGAAAGCAGTACACAGTTCCTGCCCAGTAATTAATAACAAAGTTGCACTGTACAGTTTAAGACCTGGAACTCGTACCTGTGCAGTCATGTGTCTTCCAATTTTTAAAAGGTAGCAAAAAATCCATAGAGCTATAACAGACTTGAAGCAGCTACTCTCACGACGAGCAAAATCTCTAGGCAAGGAACTACATTTGGTCTCTGGCATTTCTTTTCTTTTAAATTAGCCATTGGCAGTTGAATAGCTCGTGATGGTTAGGCAGGACATCAGCACCAATGAAGTAACTGTCTTTAAGCCTCAAAAATAATTAATTCTCATTTGTCACAGAGTATTTCCTTTTCTCACTTGCTTAGAATTCTGTCATTTTGCTGACTTTCAAGGTTATAATGGTGAGTTCAAAAAATACCTGTCTTTTTTTTTCTACCAGGCATTTTTTTATGTAAAAATAAATCTACATCTAATCATAACAGTAAATCTCAGTGAAAAGGTATTTCCAACAGTCCATAAAATAATAGCTCTACATCTAAAAGTACCTGTGTCTAGAGTTACTGTACTTCAGTCTGCTGCTTCAGACAATAAATGCTTTATATGTTGGAAAAAACAGAGCAGGCCAAACATTTTGCAACTCCTGACAATTCTCAGTCCTTCTGGGGACAAGGAAGGTTCTACTTTCCCATTCAAAATCTAAACAAACATACACACACATAATTTACAAACTTTCTTGGAGATGTAATACACCCCAAACAAAAAGCTCCTGTGCTGTCAAGACTCCAGATCGCCCTAAAGTGACTCATGTGTGAACTATAGACTGTTGCTAACTTAAATTTTCTTGTATTCAGTAGAATTAGAAAAGTGTTGCTTAAGCTATATGGGAACCAAAAGAAGGAAAAGTCCTTTCACAACTTAGATTTGCAGTGAAAACAGGTTTTGATTTGACTCAAGACAAGACTGTAAGTCATCATTTTCAACGCGTCTTAAAATTTTGCCTCACATTTTGCAGAATTAGGACTGCAGGACTATATTCAGAATCCATGTTTCATTTCACCATAGACTTTAAAATTCATTCTACTTCAAAAATAGGATTCCTAAGTAGGTGGAATTCCCTAACATTGTCCCTTAGTGGGATGAGGGGCAACGCAGTTACGTAACGATTAAAGCAGCAAATCAGTAATTCTACTTTAATTTGAATTCTTACAAGAAAAATATGGCCACAAAAAGGGAAAGGGGGGCCTTTAAGTAAGTGCGAGCAAGTAAGTAAGTATTCCAGATAACCACCAACTGCAGATGGTATAAAAAAGGAAAGTCAGATAATAGTAGACTGCTCTAGCACTGAAGTAAGCAAATAAACACAGATTTTTCCACAAAAGTCATCTTTCTATCACCAGAAAATATATACCTGGTGACAGACAGATTAATGTCATTTCTTTTTCAGAGAGATGCATCTATGGTGAGCAATACATAACAACCTAAAAATCTCTGTCTCAAAGAGATTTATCCTTCCAAAAAGAATTAAAGCATCTTTCTTCTATATGAACTGTCATTTGTACTCAGTTACTCCAGGGTCAATTTAAAACACTGACACTCAGCAAAAATGCTAATATGATATATTAATTTTATTATATGCTGTAACAACTTGCTCTGCTATAATTCCATTATACTGTGATGTAACTTCCCTCTGCATTCTCAAATTCACTTAAGAATCCCTAATTTAAAACCCAAGAGCTTGTAGTTCTGTGCATCTGGAAGGATTGTTATATTCAGTGGACATGAAAACCTCAGGAGACAAAAAAATACCCTTTAAAATCCGGTTTTGTTTAAACAACTTAGGTTCTTTTTCATGACATTGCAGGCACACAGTTCCTGAAACATGCTAAGAACTTCAGGTTTCTCAAAGCAACAGAGTAACTGACTTCACTGCCTGGCTAGTGATGCAAGGAAAGACTGATTTTTCTGTGCACATCATATCAAAATCATTCCATTTTAGATCTAAATCCTCACTCATGCTTTGGTTCTCTCTGCTACTGAAGTCAGTGAAAGTTGACATTAAATGTGAATGTGATCACGTCACGAGCAAACACACACTGGAAACCAATGGAAGACATCAGTTTCTTTCCATCGAAAACATACAATCCTACCCAACAGTTAATTTATACATATGATTCCCTCATGACCTGATGTGAATGGATATTGAGAAAATAAAAATCTACTCACATTCCAAAATGCATGAAACTAAATATTTGAGCCCTTCTAAAATTATTTTTATTTCAACAAAAAGATCACACTCTCCTCTTCTTACTATGGTCTAAAAATAGATTTCTTTTGTGAACATCTTTTAAATGCAAATACATAAGCCAGGGGAAAAAAAAATGAGTGAAATAAAAATGAACAGATATTTCAGAGAGGTTTCAAACTCTAGCAAGTGGCACCCCCCTCTAGCGCAGCTGCTGTCTCCGTGTTCTTTGTGCGCTACATGATCACAAAGCATATGGTGGGGAGAGCTGGCAAGGAGCACTTCCTTGCCCGTGCTGTCGCGGCGCACAGTCTGTACGCCAGAACTGGTCTCCTCGCAGATTGTTCTCGACAATCCTTTGCAGAAGCTGCTGGCTTTTAAAACTTCCTACCGTGCCGTTTCTAAATTTATTTCTTGCTGAAATCTGCAGTTTATGGTACCTGGAAAACAATTAAAAGGGCAGCCCAATGGGGCTACTTTTGAATAATTAACTAGGAACCAATTCCTTGACTCCTCGGAGAATGAAAGCCCTTTGACAACATATAAGAGAAAGTCTCTGAACTGTGATGTGCGAACAGGAATTAGTTTTTTTGAATGCCCTGTTTCTCAAGAGTTCAGTGAGATCTTTTGTCAGTCACGAGACAGCTGCGTACTGTACAATCTTCCACAAGGAAGCGACTGATCCAGTGCCTTCCTCCAATAACTACTCTCCACTGATCCTTGTAAAATGTTTTCAAATGTTTCTCCCAAGTCTTTAGATTATGCATGTACTACTAAGAATATTTCAATTGTAAGTAATTATTGGCATGTAAAATAAACTGCAGACAGCTGTTAAAAAAATAGTTGTTACAACTATCAAATCAAAATAGGTTTCTAGGTCAAAGTACAGCTGCATTATTAAGGCTTAAAAACACCAGCCCAAAAGCTAGTATTGACCTGATACTGAATTTGGATTCAAAAGGAATTTTCAGAATTATATCACCAGAAAATAATTGACTAATAAAACTGGTTAACAAGGACAAAAGAGAAAACTGTACGCATAACTTAAAGAGGTGCTTCAAAATTTAAAATTAGGTTAGAAAGTTCTAATGCTTCCCCTTTTTACCATAACACTTTCTAAACCCCATTTTTCTCATTGCCACTTTTGATGTGACAAAAGAGGACCTGGCAAGAAGATCCAAGTAGTCTTTCCAAATGAAAATGTTCAGGATTTCACATATATTCTCTGAAGTCATTTTTTTAACGTTGTTCTACAGATTGCACTACTCCTTTGGAATAATGATGATTGTAAATATATCAATTTTATTAAGACAAAACCCTAACTTTGCTAGAATATTATATCCATATTGAATGTTCCACTTCAACTCCATTCACAACAGGCAAACAGACTGAGAAAAATACATTTTCAAAATTAAATTGTGAAAAGTTCCCACTCTATGTTTCATTTATTTAAAAAAGAGAAAACGAATCAGGATGTGCAGGAATTGTCTCTGTATATTTAAACAATATTAAAGCAAAACTTAGAATAACCGAGAAGGATGAATGCTGTTCAAATCATGTGATATTTTTATTTTTAAATTCCTAATAACCTAATAATGCAAAAATGAGAACTACTGAAAAATTGTAGTACTATCAAATTAAGAGATGATCCCTCATTACATGATTTGAGTCAATGGTTTAATGGAAGACATCTAAAGCAAGATTAAAACACACTAAATCTATAATCAAATGTATCAGCTTTTTGTAGATACAGTTTAATTCAGCTGACATCAAGCTAAACCAAGATAGATTTAGAAATGACTGTTTATCTTAGAGAAAAACTTAAAAATCAGAGGATTTTTAGCCAAGGATTGAGAATCTAAACCTTTGTTTGACTAAATAAAGTTTTCAATTACAATGGGAAATGGTTTCGAAAGATGTGTTGAAAATAAGAAAGCAACTGTTCTCATTTTCATTTGTGATTTCTCTGGGATCCTGTTAACTACAACAGCTCAACAGCAGCACTGCTTTTTGTGTTTTTCATAGTATGGCCATTTCCACAGATCCTTCACCCCAGCTATAATCTGGAGTCAGGATGCCAAATGCCAGAAAAAAAACTCTTGTGGGAAAAAAAAAAAGAAGACATTCACCTCTAATGGTGGCATATAGTTTGGGCTCATGGATTATCAACAGCTTGTTTTGTAGGAAAAAGAATCAGACAGAATCAAACAGAAGGTAATGGAAGAAAAGAAAGTGTTTTTAGTAAATTCCTCCCTTATTACCAAGTCTCTCCTGTTTTCTTTAAACACTTCCTACATGATTTAGACACTTAAACATCTCCATCACAGACAGGAGGACAGGGAGCATTTGAATTAAAAATCGGTGGGAGGAACAGTATTAAGAGAAAAAAAATGGGTTTACACAGATGCGTATTGTTAAACAAGCATGTCAGCAGTATTCCCTAACATAAAATAGGACTACAACAAAGAAGAATGTAGAGAGGGAAATAAAAAAACCCCCATAATTAAATATCTGAAATTTCACTACTGTTGCCCTGTATTGATGTGTCTCCCATATTTCTACTCTGAAAAGTCTGAAAAAGGAGATGCAACAGGTAATTCCTTTTGCTTCCCATTATCCACAAACCCCTAATATCCACAGCAGCTCCATTTCTTGGGAAAACGTGCACAAAATAGGTCACCTCAGGTTCTCACTATTTACTCCAAGCACCAGCAGCCACCATCGTAAATCTAT